TGGCTGCCCTCCACTATTCCCTTTCTCATCTGGAAAATGGAGACTCCTACATCAGGACTTTCTGACTGGTAGGCCCCAGACTGTCAGGATTGGCAATAGGATTTCAGCCAGCATTGTTACAAACACTGGCACCCCACAGGGATGTGTCCTCTGTCCCATCCTGTACACCCTGTTCACCCACGACTGTGTCGCCTCCCACAAAGACATCATCATTCTGAAGTTTGCGGACGACACCGCAGTGATAGGTCACATCACTGGCGGGGACGAAGCAGCTTACAGGATGGAGGTGGCTGGTCTGGTGTCATGGTGCAAGGACAATAATCTCAGCCTCAACATGGACAAGACGAAGGAGATGATAGTTTTAGTGTTCTTGTGCAGCGTGTTGATACTCTGACTTAACACCGAGTTAAACTGCAGTCAGTGAAGAGGGTCGTAGCAAGATCAAAACATTTACTGTCCATTCTTCATATAACATCACGGTAAAAACTGCAAATAAACAATACAATAAACATTGTGTCAGTTATGCTTATTTAACCAATACTTATACTATAAATGGTGGTACACTTCAACACACATACATACATTCAAATGCATAGTATCAACTAGCTTATGCACAACTGTAAATAAACTTCCTCAACATTGCATCAAACTCTTTTTAACACAATCATAGCAAATGTTGACTATACTATGTCAACTGACATATATAAGAACTTACAGCATTGCTTCTATCATGTTTCCTAGCGGATGAGAATGGATACACATGCCGCAAACAAGAGCCTTACGTCCGGCATTTTTCTTCCTAACGGGAAGTGACGGTGCCAATTAATAAATAGATTTAGTGTTATCATTTCTTTTTACATATGTAATTATTAACCTGGCTCTTCACCAAAAATAGACAACAACTTATCCCAGTATTAAAGCCAAACTGGGAATCAGGCTTTATAAACACCACAGCTGTTTACTTCACAATGTATTTAGTGTGTGAAGAATCCCTGCTGTCTCAAAAATGTCAATTGCATAAGGTATTTCATTATATTCCATGGTAAATTTAGATTACGATTGTGGCACTTAATGTTTCCACTTACATTAGATCGAGAATCATTCACGGGCACAGAATGCCACACTGAAGTGTTGACACTTTACCATAATGAGTAGAGCAGCAGACTAATGGTTGCTCATCCAAACGGCCCGGCTACATACTTCAAAAGGCCACATAAAAAAAAAAAAAGGGGAGGATCAACAAAGTCAGAGTGGATTAAGAACAGGAGTCCAGGACTCCACTGCGCTCTCTGCAGAACAGCTAAACAGCTGAGGAGTATATTACCAGTAAATACATGTACTGTTTACATTGTCAGTTTGCACATGCATAATTGCACATCAACTGTTCACTGCTGCACATGCTGCTCCCATGTAGCATACATTCTCTATTATATTCTTATATATTTTTATTATATTGCTGCATTTGCTGCTTAAAAGTGCCTTAGATTTTGTGTTGCTTGTTTATCTACATTATATTTCATTTGTATTTTTGTGGCATTCATGTGGACGGCAAAGTAAGCATTTCATTGTACAGGGAAACAGGTTTCCTAACTGTGCATATAACAAATAAACACTTTGACTTTGACTTAGTCATGTAATCTAACAAACTCACACCGCCACATGCACACAGACACACAATAAAGCTGTGCTGCACAGATCAAGTAGATACAGTGGGTACGGAAAGTATTCAGACCCCCTTAAATGTTTCACTCGTTATAATGCAGCCATATGCTAAAATCATTTAAGTTCAATTTTTGACATTTTTGCAGATTTATTAAAAAAGAAAAACTGAAATATCACATGGTCATAAGTATTCAGACCCTTTGCTCAGTATTTAAACGTTGGTGGACAGCCATTTTCAGGTCTCTCCAGAGATGCTCAATTGGGTTTAAGTCAGGGCTCTGGCTGGGGCATTCAAGAACAGTCACAGAGTTGTTGTGAAGCCACTCCTTCGTTATTTTAGCTGAGTGCTTAGGGTCATTGTATTGTTGGAAGGTGGATAGTATAGTATAGTATAATCAAACAGAGCTGGACTCAAATGAAAGTGTAGAACCATCTCAGGGATGATCAGAAGAAATGGACAGCACCTAAGTTAAATATATGAGTGTCACAGCAAAGGGTCTGAATACTTATGACCATGTGATATTTCAGTTTTTCTTTTTTAATAAATCTGCAATAATGTCAAAAATTCTGTGTTTTTCTGTCAATATGGGGTGCTGTGTGTACATTAATGAGAAAAAAAGGAACTTAAATGATTTTAGCATATGGCTGCAATATAACAAAGAGTGAAAAATTTAAGGGGGTCTGAATACTTTCCGTACCCACTGTAAACCTGTGGAGGAACAAAAGCAGAAAAACTTGAAGTGATGAAAATACAGAAGATATTCAAGGAGTGTATCCAGAACTAAGGTCTAAACCAGGGGTCGGCAAACTACGGCCCGCGGGCCACATCCGGCCTGTTGGTTCTTTTAATCCGGCCCGCCGAAGATTGGTACAGGATTGCCCAAATCAAATCATATAATTATGACTGCATTCATTTGACCATGTCCTGTAATGCCTGGTGTTCCACCAGGTGGCGCATTAGGCACGGTGATACATTAACTTGATTTTGCGGAGCCAGGTCTACTCTCAGTTATTACTCAGCTACTGCTCTGAACCCAGCTGCAACAATGAGTGGGCCAAAGAAAAGAAAAGTCGACAAAAAAAATACAACATCAGCCGTCACTTTTTTGTACCAAGCATGCTAATTATGCTAACAACCAGTCAACGCAAGAACGGATGGCTACTGCTCAGAGGCTGGCAGCTAGTTTGCAGACTCAGCAAAACACCTTTATCCGACAAACTGCCATCCAAGAATCAAGCACAAAGGCAGGTTATTTGCTGGCATTCAAATTAGCGAAGACCAGCAAGCCTTTCTCCGAAGGGGAGTTTCTCAAAGAGTGCATGGTAGAGACAGCAGGTATCTTGTGTCCTAAGAGCAAGAACAAATTTGAAAAAATTAGCTTATCACGCAGGACAGTGACTCGCCATGTTGAGCTAATTGACAAAGACTTAGCTAGCAAGCTAAACAAAAAAGCAGAGTCATTTACATTATATTCCTTGGCACTGGACGACAGTAGTGACAAAGGACACCGCTCAGCTTTTAATTTTTATCAGAGGGATTAATAACAGTTTTGAGATAATATAGGAGTTTTTGGCCATGGAATCCCTAAAGGGGAAAACGCGGGGAAAGGACTTGTATGACAGAGTGTTGGGGGTCATCGAGAGGCACAAGCTACCTTGGAATACGCTTGCCAACGTTACCACAGATTAATTGACAAATCTGACTGGAAAAAATGTCGGGCTGTTCAAAAGAAACCAAGAGAGGGTGAAAGAAGACAACCCTAAGCAGGAGGTAATTTTCCTACACTGCATAATCCACCAGGAAGCACTGTGTAAATCCGTATTGCAGCTTGACCACGTAGTGAAGACAGTTGTAACTTTATTCGAGCAAGGGGACTTCAGCATCGTCAGTTTATTAAGTTTCTTGAAGAAGTTCAGCTCTCTTAAACTGGATGAGTTTTATGCTTCATTAAGTGCAGTCAAATTTCCAAACATCCAGAAGATGGCACAGAGGATGCTGGTGTTGTTTGGCTCTACCTATGTGTGTGAACAGACTTTTAGTGTGATGAACACCAACAAAGCACCCCACAGATCCCAGCTGAGTTGTGAACACCTCAGATCTGTTCTGAGAATTGCCACAACAAAACTAACCCCAGTCTGTCAAATTTTAAAAGTCAATGTGGCCCCTGAGCCAAAACGTTTGCCCACCCCTGGTCTAAACTAATCTACTCTACATTTATCTCAAACACAATACCATGACCACTGCTGCTGCAAGTGACAAAAACTAGCTCGCTGATGAGCAAGAGGCTGCTGAACTGAATGAGCTGTGGACGCACTGCTCAAAGACAGGATTTAACAAGTTTTATTCTGGTTATGTGTTGACTCACAGCACATGGTTCAGAGAAAGCAAAACTTAAAAGCAGCTTCAGATTAAACATTGGAGAAGAATTCAAAACCGAACTCAAACCGCTGATGTGAAGGCAAATACTATAGAATACTGTGCTTCCAGCATACTCCTTTCTTTGCCTTTTTCTGCTGCTGTAGTGTAGGAAAATTCTTCATTCATTCAGGAATTATTATGTTGCATCAGAATATAATCTAATAACCAAACACATTCACTACAAAATTTATCAGAGCTTGCCAGACTTTTTAGAAGGCCGAGGGTGTCCTTTTGGCCAAGACTGGCCCTGAAATGTGTAAAAAGTCAGAGGTTCTATTCGGGAGCACATAAAAGAGTAACAAAGCCTGAGAGCAACTGTGTCTTTTTATAGCGCAGAGTTGATAACCTCAATTTAACAATGAAAAAATGTAGATATAATGCAATAACTGCCAGTAGCACAATGTCTCAAAAGGCGTATAAGGTGGTAGCATGTACGCATAATGAAATAGTAGTTATTATTGTGAAAGACACGGACACTGTTCGCATTGGATACACGATGAGAGCAGGGGCCGTCATGGATTGGGGATGGCTCATCTGTGGTCCAGCCAGCAATTTAAGATGGCTGCATCTGTAACTGCCCCTGCAGTTTTAATACATTCCAGGTGAAAACAATACAGTATGTAGTGCTCAAAGCAATGAAAAACAAAACTGCAGAATTTTGTTGGGGTTTTCCTCAATAATAATAGTAAGGTCTAGACCTTACTTTGTAAAGTGTCTTGAGATGACTTTTGTTGTGATTTGGCACTATACAAATAAAATTGAATTGAACCAAAAGAACACACTGTCCAGTTTTCAGTGGAGCTTTTGCCCATGAGAAGGGTTCATAGTGTGGACAATACTGGCTGTTGTGCTGTGACTTGGGTGAACTGACTCTTTAATGTCCTTCAGTGTGAACATTGTGATGCTGTCTATTTGGCAGGCACCAGCAAGGATGAAGCCAAAGGCATCTGTGAGCTCATCATCCTCCAGCTCCTCCCTGCCAGCAGTGACCACCAGCTCCCCACCTCCAGAGGTAACATTAACAAGCATGTTTCCATCATGAAAGCACTGTGGCAACAAGTTCTTATTGATCAAACTTAGAGGTACACCAAATATTAACAGTTTACATACTGATTTTCACCTCATAATTACTCTTCATACCACAACTGATGCAAATGCAGTGGTACTCTATAATGATAGTTGACATGGCTGGTCTTTGATTCAAGATTCAAGATTTTTATTTGCCATTTATGCTTAAACAGACAGTCTAGGCATATAGGAATTCTTGTGCAGGGCTCTCCTGGAGTCAAGTAAAGAGTTTAAAGCCAAAAGAATGAACACCTAGTCTAAATACAAGATTACCGAAGAATACAAAATACAAAAACAACAATACTCAACACTGCATGAAAAGAGGTGTATCTGTACTAGGAAACTCCCATATACACCACTGATTTTCGGAAGTATCTACAAGTACCACTGACCGTATACATCAAATTCCACCAAGCTAGGATACTTCCAGAAAGATACCAATTCGGATGTATCTTGTGGATGTATACTCCCATGGTACAGCCATTTGTTGCCATGAATAGTCAAGGAATTTGTCAGGAGAAATTCAGACCTCAAGGACCATTTGCATTTTACACCTTTGCACAACTCTGCTGTCCCCATTAGTGCTTTATCTCAACATTGATTGGTTGTTTGTTTTTTTTTTTTAAAAACACTTCCAAAACCCTGACATCTATTGGGACATTACCCAGTCACTTTCCTGTTGATATTATTTGATTGGTCACACTTTTTATTTAGCCCAACCCAAGACCTCATTGCTTAGTGACTTGTGACTTGGTTATTGGACAGGTATTTACCTCCAAATGATGACTGCCTGTGTTTTGCAGTGCATCTCTGGATAGTTTTAATCCTCCAGGCCAAGTACCCAGTGCCACTCTCACCGTCGTAGAAATGCTCCTTGGAGGGCGAAAGAACAAGAAAAACATGCTTTATGGCTTACAAACGATATGCTTTTACAGGGATTGGACTGGCAGAATTAAAAATGTTTCAATATGATTTTGGCTTGACCACCACTTTGTGCAACTCACATAGCCGTTTTTAGAGTACGGGTCACTGAGATAGGGGAATTCCTCTGGCATACATTTCTTTCACCTGTCGGGGTGGTGATGTACTGCAAGATTGAGAATAAAAATAACGTTAACTTCGATTTCAAATTAATCTGAAAACTACAGCAACTTCACAAGGGCTAAAAACAATTTTAAAAAACTTGGAGAGTCATACGAATCAAGTGACGATGACAGCTGGGCCTGCTGAGGAGAGGCTTGTGTAGAGGCTGTTTCTAAGCATAAAAAACAGGAAGAAGAAACATCATTGTACAGGGTCCTCTCAAAAACCCACTTCATAGACTATATTAAGCTTCAGTACAAACAACATATACTTCAAATTACAGATTAGAATTTTTTTGTGTAACAAACCTGTTTCATACTTGATGGTTAGTACCCCAGTTGAGGGATGATTTACTATTTCTTCAAAAACATCATTATCCAATTCAGTCCCTGAACTGTCAAAGTAAAAGACTTTCACGCCTTCTGTTACAGCTGGGACACCAAACTTTGCAAATGCTATGGGCACAAAAGGATCATGTCTTTCACATTATAATGAATATACATTCATCATTTTCATTGAATTTGATATACTAGCTTATCAAATGGTCTTAAACACTACCAAATTATATAAAATGAGGTTGTCAAGCAACCTACTAATATATTTTAAGCAGTACACACATAAGAATTTAAAGCACCTTATAAAAATCTTATCTCCCTACAGTGTCAGGGTATACTTCGAAAATTTAACAATAGTATATTTCTTTAGATGTTACTTGATGTTATCATATTTTTTTTGCCTCCAAGGGTCTCTTCCTATAGAAGGATTGGCAAGATATTCCTAAGCTAATCAGCCTTTCTGGCTTTCCGTCGGCCATATTGGTTTTAAGACTTTGTTTTGCACTTACAAAGGCTGACCAGTGGGTGGCAGTGTATGGAATAACACGCTAGCATCCACTGAAGTGGATGATATGCAACTACTCAATCAGAACCCATGCACATACAAGAAAACAGCTTTTAAATAGCTGTCCACTGTAGTGACCACTATGCATGAAAGGGTTAAGTAAACAATACACATTTCCCATAACAGTTTCCTCTTAATTCTCACTGTTTTTCTCATTATATTAATATAACCTTAACTCAGTAGCATGCCTCACCACCGGCATGGTGGTGCACAGGCCTATCCAGACTTCGCCTTGCACTATAAAAAAAAATCAGTTGACTGGCTCAATTACGAATTAGGTAGCGTTAACTTGCGTTACTCACGTTACATTATTACACCAGCAATACATCTCCTAAAGTAATGGCAGTAACCCGCGCAAACACATTAGCCAGATTGCTTGCTAGCCTTCAGTTTGAAACTCGATATTTAAGAAACAAAGACAGCCAGAGTATATGGTGATATTACATTATTTTAAAATGCTGTGTCTGTTGAATTGCAACATTACTGGTTTGTAGGTGAGTAAATAAAAACTTACTGCTGTTGCTCCATGTGTGGAATATGGCGTCCTCACTACTGAAAATTTCTCAGTTCCATGGGCGAATGAGGCGGAGACTGGGAGGGGCTGTCCATAGAGTGAAACCGACTCTGCCTCTTTTGACTACGCAAATTTTCACCAACACTGGGAGGTTTTTTACTACAGTTGTTGTTGTATTAACTCTGAAAGAGTCAAGGCACTCTCACACCGCTTATTTTACACTGTGCAATTTTGCAGTGCAGACCGATGCTGCTGTAGCATTTCTCCCTGCGGAGCGTATTGCAGGCAGATGTGTAATCAGTACTTCAACTGTGCAGTTAAGTCAAACTACGAAGAAGGTCTCAGTCGTAATACTACTATGCACAGTGGTTGAGATTTAGGCCAATGTAATTACAAAAGCTTGTTTGTTTATACTGTTATTGTGCATTTTTGTATTTTTTTTGTCATTATCTCTAAACGTAAACCTTCAAAATAAACCTTTTTTAATGATATTCTGAAACGTTTGCATTCCTCTTGACTACTATAATCCATGAGTCAGACACATAAAAAGTAATTTTCACATATTAAAAAAGGTATGTCTATTGAATTTAAGTTATTTTGAATAATATACAAATTAAACAATATTTATAATAAACGTATGTAGTAAACACATTTGTACAGACAGGGTGTTTTATCCAGTTTTTATGTACAATAATAAAATATCTGCTGTCCTTTAGAAGGCACACCATGGCTAATCCCCCCCCACCCCACTATGATAACAAATACAGCACCTCTATCTACTAGTCATTAACATATGAAAGGCCTTTACACCTCACAGCCATCACTCCTCACTGCTTGCTGTGAGGAAACTTTCACCGATTCCCGTATACATCCACATACATGAAGTATCTGGTTGTTTCACGAAAATCAAGCACTCTGCCTCATACATCTGGCAAACTTGAAGTTTAGCGGGGATTTCCCATACCCATGTTTGTCTGGATACAGTTCTTTTCATGCAGTGCAAGAATACAAAATAGTTGATAAAATTGTGGATACAGGAAAATGGGGAGTTTCAAATATTGCACATGGTATTGCACCTAGTGGAATTGTATATGGTATACTTAAGATGGCGGCCTCTCTCTCTCCAAGTTGTGTGCCTAAAAATGTGTCTTCTAGTGTGTGTCCATATTTGTTGTGTTTATGTTCTGCTGCGCGTAGTTCAAGGTCTACACTGCGCTCAAGATACAGTCACCACTATCTTATGGATATAGGTCAAAACATTGGATATAAGTCAAAACATTTCAACTTGGACCAGGAAGTTGCAGAGGAACTTCAAGGTCTGGGGCTTTTCTGCCAAATTCCTAAATCACTGGACACGCCGGCTACATCAGCCCCTGAGAAGAGGCATTGGAAGCGGTGTGAGCGAAAGCAGAACCAGGGCAAACGTGGAGGCATCCAGGCTAGGCTAGCAGCTAGCCCACACAGACCTGCGATACCATCCCTCATTATGGCCAATGTACGCTCACTGGACAACAAAATAGACCACATACAGTGCCTGAGATCTGCACGGCGTGATGTGAGGGAGTACTGTGTTTTTCATTTTTACGGAGACAGGGCTAAATGACAGCTAGATGCGCTAACATGCCTCTGAGCCAACCGAGTCCTTGTGGAGCCAGAATTCTTGCTGTTTCTCAGGTGTTCAAATACTTATGTTCAGCAGTGCAAGACAAATAAATTCTTTAAAAATCATACAATGTGATTTCCTGAAATTTTTTTTTAATTCTGTCTTTCAGAGTGGGAATGCACCTACAATGTGAATTTCAGACCCCTCCATGATTTCTAAGTGGGAGAACTTGCAAAATCGCAGGGTGTTCAAATACTTCTGTTCCTCACTGTATTTCATTTGTATTTTGTGGCATTCATGTGGACAGCAAAGTAAGAATTTCATTATATAGGGAAACACGTTTCCTAACTGTGCATATGACAAATAAACACTAGTGATGCACCAAAATGAAAATTCTGGGCCAAAACCAAAAATTTAGGATGCACTTGGCCGAAAACTGAAAAGAAACCGAAAATGGCTTCTTTGAAAAACTTCAAATTTTTAAAACACGCTTACTCTATAATTGTGTATGTATGTATATATGATTTCAGGTAGATATGTTTCTGCAAAATAGCATCTGCTTGGCAGTGTATAACGCAGCTCAATATGTTGTATGAGCCTACGAAGTACAATGTCCTCCACGACAGAAAATGGCTGGTCATCTAAGGCAATGAATTCCATTACTTTCTCAGTAATGCCACATGCTTTGGGACTATCATCTGCAAATTTCTTAGTCTTTTCAAAGAATGTGGCGACCGAGGGTATTTATGATATAGTTGGGGCACTTTTAACCAATGTTGTATTGCGGTACTCCTCATATTCAATTGGATGTCATGTTTTCAGGTGGTGTATCAAACCTGTTGTCGAAAAGTTCTTTGGCACCGTACCTCCTCTTGATACTTTCGCAGAACAAATGTTGCATATTGCAACTTTGGTGTCCTCACCTGTGTAAGATATGGTTCGTCTTACCATTGCTAACTCTGAGAGACGAGGCAGTCCAAGTAACTTCAAAACAGTGCTGATTTATTCAAAGGATCACAGGTAAAATTAACATTACACGCTCAAGTATCTTGCACCTCCAACATGCACGCAGGCAGATGTAAGTTATCACCTCGGTTGGGCTAGCCCCATACTACACAGAAACGTCAACCGAGACGTCTCTGTTACCAGCTTTGCAGCTGGCCCTAGCAGTAGTCAAAACATGAAGCAAATCAACATGTGAATGTGTATGTCTGTTGGTTAAGTGGTGTGTAACTAAAAACATTCTCACGACCTCTAGTACATGTCGTGTCTTAAACATAAAAACATATTATGGCTAAGGCTACAGTTATACACGTCGTAATAATAATATTAAACACCCTGTCTACTGACAGTCATCAACTCTTCTCTCTGGTATCCTTGACCAGAAGTACCCTGTAGAAACTCATAAGCAGACCTAAGCATTTAACAGTCTAACTATACATCCTATCTCCACTAAACATTTCTAATACATAAAGTATCTATCCAATATCTATCTGACTAAAAATACCTAACACCTGAAACTTCAAAATGCTTCTATACCGCTGACATGCTTTGTCGTTGATGGGGAGATGCGTGATATAACAGCTCCAGCGTGAGTGAAACCTAACCTGTGCTGCGTGAGAATGGGCGGGGCGGGGCATTTTCGGCATGTTTTTTTTATTCCGGCCCGAAATAAAAATGGCCTTATCGGCCGAAAATTTTCGGTGGCTGAAAGTTCAGTGCACCCCTAATAAACACTTTGAACTTGAATTCTGTTGACTGTAGTGCACATGCCTCCCACTGCTAACACCAGCAATAGGAGTGAGTTCACTAAATGAACTCTACCAGGCCATCAGTGAACAACAGATGGCACACCCAGACAGATTCCTCATCACAGCTGTGGACTTCACGCAGATTTAAAGGTTTCCCTTATGGACATTTTTAACACCCGCCTCACCCGCAGAGCCATCAGCATTGCTGATGACACCTCCCACCCCTCAGACTTCCACTTCAGACTCCTGCCTTCAGGGAGAAGGTATCAAAGTCTTCAGGCCTACTCCACCAGACTTACAAACAGCTTTATCCACCAGGCCGTGAGGATGCTGAACGTGTTAGGGTAGCCCCCCTCACCAGGAGGGTGAGGGAGGACTGAGGTTGGACTCAAGTGTGCAGACCCAGGTGCTAGGGGGGAAAAACATGATGGTAGCAGGTAAAGAAAGAGAACACAAAGTATCAAAAGAACATAACATGGGAAGGTACGGTACGTGGATATGTATAATATGTAGTGTAGTGTAAATTAGCGTAGCTCGTAGGTAGTGTGGTAGAGTCAAGCCAAAACGCACAGTGTCTGTCAGCGTAGCATTTGTAGCGTGTTCTTCATGAAGAATAATCGGAATCAAATATCAATTTTCAAACATTTATTATCATAACTAAACAGACCATCGAATAAAGCAATTTACAGAGCTCTGGGTTCCATCTCTATCTGAAGCCCTGACCTCAACAGCAAAACCGTTCAACCTGTCTTCAGGAGGAGAAGGAACGCTGTCCTCCTCCATTCAGTTGTTTTTATACAATTTCAAATGTGCCCTTGTAAACTGGTCCGGTCCTCTCGTGCTGTTCTATTGGTCCATGTATCCATCCGTCCCCCTTCTGCATCCTTCCTGCTCCAATGGGAAAGGCAGCTTCCTATAGAGAGAGGAAATCCCACTCTGTCTAAAATTCCTACACTCACCTCTTTGTTTCCAACTAAGTAACTACACTCTATAAAACATGGCTTTCCATTTGGCTACTAAACTATCTTGCCTGTGTGTCTGTATATGGCCCTGTCTTTTAAAGTTGTCTTTTCTCTTCCTGGCCTCAGATCTAATCTCTGTTTCTTACCCCTAGTGTCCCAGTGACCCCAAATTCCCTGGCCTCTTCAGCCAGGTGGTGATCATAAAACAACTGTGAACCCTCTTAAACCAGAGGAGAGAAAGGCGGAGGAGAGGCAGCGGCCGCCGAGTGGCCCTGACAGAACGCTGTCCATTATCTATCCCCCCTGCCCCTGGACTGTAATCCATCACAGAACATAAAAAAGACTACCTCTGCTGTTTGCACAAACTCAGTACATTCCCCCTTTTTTTATATTATATGAAAATCTGCTGCTGTTTTTTAACGTCAACACTGTTGGTCATTTGCATTACTGTCCATGTGCATCTCATATGCTATTATGCATCTCATCACCAACGCCCCTGGTGATGCTAACCACCTGACAATCTTCTTGGTAATATTTGCACTACTGTCACTGTTTGCACATGGCTTTGATTTTCTTCATGGCCTATTATGTTGTACCATTTAGTTTTATCCTAATGACTTTAATTCAGTTTTCATATTCTATTTATTCTGTGTTTATTCTAATTTTATTCTATTTTAGTTTCTTAAATGGTATGGGCATTCAACATTAGGTGAGAGAGAAACGGTATTTCGATTTTTCTGTATGTCCTGCACATATAGTGAATTGCTAATAAAAAATCTTTGATCTTTGATTCTACTAAGTAGGGTAATAAGGGGTTATTGCACAGGTTTTTCACATTTTGTTTTTGTATCAGTCTTACTGCTGCAGGGAAAAAGCTGTTTTAAAATCTTGTTCTGAGTGTGATGATACTGTCCGCTCTGCTGTGCCTGAGGTTGTGGGTGCAGTTTTTGTGTCTTTGAATTGCATTAAGCTGAGTCTACCACAAGAGGTATGACCATTCAGTTTCCTCCAGGTATTCCAAACAACCCCAGTGTCACCTGGGTCATCGTATGTAGAGTGCCTTCTGTTTTCTATTTAGTCTGTAGTATGAGATGTTGAAAATCAAGTTGAGATGAAGAACAAGAATTTAAGCAGGAGTGTTCACAACTATTGGTGCTCTTAACAGTGGAAAAATATGTATACAGGGAAAATATGCTCTCATCTGTGTGGGAAGTGTCATAAAATTCAAATTAAAATAGGTTTGACTTGAGGAAATTAAATGTTGTTGACAGATTATTGAGGTAAATACACTGTCAGTGCAGTGACACTGCTTCCCGCCAAAAATGTAATTTTAATAACTGAAATTCTGCATCAGGGCCATAATAATTCACAATCTGTGAACGTGTGTGTGTGTGTGTGTGTGTGTGTGTGTGTGTGTGCGTGTGTCCAGGGAGAGAGGGCCCTGGCACCATCTCCAGCGGAGGATAGCCTTGGTCTGGGCATGTCGCTGGCCCAGGCCAGAGAAAGAGCCCATCAGAAACGAGCCGCAAAGAAGGCCCCGCCAATGGACTGGAGCAAGAGGAACGAACTGTTCAGCAACCTATAAACAACACATTATCATCATCACCACCACCACCTCCATCTCCTCCAGAGTCATCTGTACTGTCCCCTGGTGGAGAGTCCAGAGAGATAATCAGCCTCTGTTCCTGGTGTTTGTCTGGATTTGGTTTTTACCTGATCACACTGCATATGGAAGACACAGTGATCATTTAGGACATTTTAAACAGTATTATGATGATTTTATTTGTTTTAATTTAGGGTTTTGTCACTTTTGAAATGCCACTGTCACACACAGGAATGAATGTTAATATATTAAGAAGAATGTCTGAAGTAAATATGAAACGCAGTAAGGAATAATGGGGCATAGGGAAAAAGAATTATCAGCATATTTCGAGTCAAAATTTAAAATCTACTGTTTAAATGAATATAAGATACCCACAGATGTTTGCAGTCAGCAACTAGAATTATAGCTTTTCTCTAGTCATTATCTGTGAATGAAAACTGCTGAGTAGCTCTTCTGAGCTCTCGCTGCTAACAGAACCATGACATCTTCCTGTTGGAGCAGTGTCTGAGCACCACCAGTATCCTGAAGTCTTAAGATGGCTATAGGGATTGTGTCAGTTTTAGAATCACGAAAGCTCTGGTAGCTTGGACCCAACCTTCACGTTTGTCAAGTCATTAGCATGACTTCATTTGGTGAAATTATTTTATTACATTGCTCTTGTTAGTTTTGTACATACATGAATAAATGATTTAGGTGGAAAATTTATATTGCATCAGTTGAGAGGAATGAACCTATTCTGCCAAAATTTCATGAACTTAAAGTTGCACTGGTACCATGTGAAGATTCAGGAGTACGGACATTGGCTCTGCTATAGAATGTACTGATGAGCACTGACAAACATAACATTTGGATCCAGTGGAATTAAGTCTGTTATGTAATGTAGCACACTGTAAACTTTGGAAACAGTAATTTGACCAAAAAAACCCCAAAAACTAAAACAAAAAAGTTGTTTTGATTTTTGCACTAAACAACATTTCGGTCTTTGGAAAGGGTCTTTCAGCTCAATGTTTTGGTTCTCTAGCCTGTACCGTTTTTAGTCTCACTGCTCTCACTAACAACATTTCCATTTGGCTTCATTTGGAAGAACAATTCTGGCAGAGTATTACCCCCAAAATCTGAAGGTTAATTATTTTGTGAGACAAGTCCCTTCTCTCTTATTTTTCAGTTTCATGACTACTTTCATTTAAATATGACACTTTTTTGTAGATATGTAAGCAGCAAGTCCAACCAATAAAGCAACTTCTGGAGACCTCGGTGGCCTGCTGCAATATGTTGCCAGAAATCTGGCCAATCAGAGCTCATGCTGCTGCTCCATGGATGTTTGGTGGCACAATTTTTACAAAATCACAGATTCATTTAAAGTTACACTCCAGAGACATTTTAATATTTCTATTTGCATAAAGAACTCTATGAACAATATATAGTCAAACATTTTTCCTCAAAAAAAGTGTATCTATAATAGGCCTCACCCATTACAGGATCTATGAATATTCAAATACATGCCCCCCCCCCAACAACGCTTCCCTCACATAGACCAGTGAACTCGCTGTATCAGAATGAGATGCAGGAGTGAAAACTGAAGAGTTGTAGCATTTTATGTTTGAGCCTCATTCACCCTTTACAGCAATATTGTATAGAAAGTCACTTTTGGCTTTTCCCGTTTTTTAGGGGTCGCCACAGCGAATCGTCACACTGATGACTCACATTTTGACATTTGGCACGTGTTTTATGCTGGATGCCCTTCCTGACACAACCCTGATTCGAACCCAGGCCGCAGTGGCGAGAGCCTACCAGGGACGGCCACATAGTAATGTTGTATTGTATAGCAATACAGTGGCCAAGTACAGAGAAAAGCTGAATGGCTTCTATTCTACTGCAGCCTCCGGACGGCTGTGGCAAGGCCTGCAGCACATCACAGACTACAGGACCACCACCAGCATCATCAGCTCCACAGACAGCCTGCCGGATGACCTCAACACCTTCTACACCCGCTTTGAGACCTCCAGC